ATAAGTGACTGATGCCTCAACAAGTCAAAATGATGTAGCACTTATTATGTAAGAAGTGGCTGAGGGACAGCCAGGCACAGTGGCTCAAGCCTGTAATCCCAGCACTTTGGGAGGCCGAGGCGGGTGGATCACGAGGTCGAGAGATCGAGACCATCCTGGTCAACTTGGTGAAACCCCGTCTCTACTAAGAATACAAAAAATCAGCTGGGCATGGTGGCGCATGCCTGTAATCCCAGCTACTCAGGAGGCTGAGGCAGGAGAATTGCTTGAACCCAGGAGGCGGAGGTTGCGGTGAGCCGAGATCGCGCCATTACACTCCAGCTTGGGTAACAAGCGCAAAACTCTGTCTCAAAAAAAAAAAAAAAAAAAAAAAAAAAAAAAAATGGCTGAGGGACATGTTAGGCACAGAATTAAGTGAACTGCATAAATATTAGCTATTATTAAGCAATGGGGGTCAAAGGTTATGAATGTGAATTTTCATAGCCTTTCTTCATATTAACCTTTCAAACCCTCTAGAAGAGTCTTCTTTCTTACCTTCCTTTCTGGCAGAGACAGACAAAAGAGCAATACTGAAAGGAGTACACTCCATACAGTGGAGAAAAGCAATCAGAAAAAGCAAAAAATGTCTTAGGAGAAGAAAGGTTTAGAAAGTTTTTGCTATACAAGTGTATGCAGATTACTATGCAGTTATCCGTTTCTGGAGATGAGGATGACAATGATGATGTGATAATGGCAGGCTGTATTTTATTGTATTACCATTTAATCATATTACCATTTCGCAAGATGCAAGCAAAGCCTGAAACTCTTAAAAAATTATCTTTGGCTGCTTAGACTACATTTTTCTGAAAAGGACTCTGTGCTGATGGATCATGTAGTTTCAAGATTCGCATGTGTTAAAATTACTTCAGGATGCTAGTCATTTTTCAGTTACCAGTAGAAATAAATCTCAAAGGAAGAGTTCTGCAGATTCTTGAGCCGTCAGTGGCCTGTAGGAAATATTCTACCTGAACAACTGGGTATGTGTTGGAGAAAGTTGGGTCTTGTTAAAACATTTTAAAAATAATTAAGTCCAAAATCTATTTTGGATCCATGGGGTAGACTGTCTCATAGAGTGTTTCTAAAGAGAGGTTTTTAAAGTGTAGTCGGATGGTCAATCTTCTGAGTTGTGACATAAATCATTTAATGAGACATTTGGTTTGATGGTTTGTAAAGTTGCCATGATTCTGTAGTTTATTATTAGCAATTTAGGCACAGAGAGTTGGTTTATATTTATCTAATCCAGATAATAAAGGATTTAGTTTCCTGTCACTAAAACCAGATTCTAGAAATGTCATCTAAACAGAAGGAGGGGAGAGGCAGCCCCATCCGGCAGAAACTGGACTGGAGAAGAAGGGAAAAACAAACTGAAATCTCCCTTCTGGCTTCTTTTAAAACAATGGGTCATTTGTAAGGCAAAGAGCTTTTGAACATACTAAAGTGTCTTTAGACTTAAGAGAAGTATCTTCTCTTGTACCTGTATCCTAAAGAAAATCTATTTTCATAACAATTTGGAAACAGCTGAAATAGTTTCATAATTGTTATGAAACTTGGGGACGGCTGAAACATTTACATTGGTATTGAGCTCCTCACTTGGGGATCATCTAGTGGGTTTAAGATTAAGTTGGTCACAGTGCTGAATTTAAAATCCACCTTTCCCCCAAGAAAATATGAGAGTACTATGATCATTTTCCTGGGCCTTTCTCATTAGAGGCTGCTGTGCTGACAGTGGAACATCTCTGAGGTGGTTGAGATTTGGGGTAGATTTCAAAAGGTAACAATTTACAGACCAGAACATGTGCTAAATAGACAAACCTGTCCTTTCTCAACCACCATGACTGTCCACAATTATGATATAAGGGTGATCCAGTGGCTGAAATTACGGTGATTTTTCAAAAACTCCAGTGTCAAAATTTTGCCTTGATAGTACATCTGTAACTACTAATAATGTTGTTTTGGGCTGACTCAGTTGCTTTGAAATTGCATGGCCCCATTATGAGTAAAGGAGAGGCAACCAATTATCTATAAAATAACAACGTGCACAGAGGAGAGCTTGATGAATTACAAGTGAGCTCTGCTGACACAACAGGGTGTGGAAACCCGCCCTGCTCTGACTTTCCATCAGAATTAGGGGTGATGCTTGCATGTTTTACAAACAACATACCCCCTCAATTCTAATGTGGAATGGGAGAGGGGAGCATGGGAAGATGGCAAAATCTTCCCCCACTAGTCACTAGGACACATGCCACTGCTTTAAAATTAAGTAGAAAACCTGCTTGGGTGTATAGAGGCAGCAAATCCAAGTATCAATACCTGCATAAAGAATTACCATCCTGCAGGAAGAAGGCAGTGTTAGATAAGAAATGCAGGTCTCCTGTCAACTAATGTGATTTAGAACATAGACTAAAAGAGCCATTGCAAATCTCTTATCCCGGAACTCAGTCCAGTGTGTAGGGAGCCAATGCATAAATTCACCTATGCAGAGAGCAGACGCTGAATTCCTGGAACCAAAGGACTGCAAACCTCATCAAGGATCTGTCAGGTGGTGAGTGAGTCAACTGCAGTTTCATTCAGCAGCCCTTGGGCTGTTGAGCTCCTTGTGCATGGTGAAGGCAATATCTGTTTCTTACTATTGCTCAAGAAACTGCAATTCAAAGTCATTTTCTGCTAGGCAAAGGATACAGAGAGCAGCTAAAACACCAAAATCTCCTGCTTATATGGGGTTATGTGGGAAGATAAAGAGAATTCTTCTGCACCGCTAATCTAATGTTGGTGTTCTGATGGGTTTAAAAGGCTGAGGAGATAGTATATAGCTTCAAAATGTTTGCCTCTGTTGTCCTAATGGCACTCTTACTATGCTGAGGATTAATTATTTATATGTAAAGAAGATATAGAACATAATACTTATCAAGGAGTTGCTAGGTATATTAGTTTGTTCTCACGGTAATAATAACAACATACCCAAGACTGGGTAATTTGAAAAGGAAAAAGGTTTAATGGACTCACAGTCATGAAGGAAGGCAAAGGAGGAGCAAAGGCATGTCTTACATGGCAGCAGGCAAGACAGCATATGCAGGGGAACTGCCCTTTATAAAACCAACAGATCTTGTGAGATGTATTCACTATCATGAGAACAGCATGGGAAAGACCCTCCCCCATGATTCAGTTACCTTCCACTGGGTCCCTCTCGTGGGGACTATGGGAGTTACAATTCAAGATGAGATTTGGGTGGGGACACAGCCAAATCATATAACTAGGTACGTTTACCCCAAATATTAAGTCAAGAACGGTTTCTGGTGTTATAGTCCCTTTTCTTATATAGGGCATCTCTGGATATAGGTGTTCACATTTTTCTCTGCAACCTGTTGGTTTTAAAGATAGACTATTGGCAAGCAAAATGTCAAGGGCAAGCAGTGAGATTTGACCCATCAGTCCTTGGGAAGCTGACTCTTTGGTTTTCCCCCATGTTCCTTGTCTTCTTGATATGCCTGGGGGGGAAAAAAGTAGTACTGGCTTAGGGTTGGAGCAGGTCTAGAGGTAGCTTGCTCTGGGCTAAGATCTGGCCTCTACTGCTGTTTCTCCAAAATTGGGAGTCATATTCCTGTTTAAGATAATCTTAAGTGATCTACATTGAATCTCTGACTGAGTTATTCTCTTTAATCCTTCTGAATATGCCAAATGGAGAGTTTCTGTTTGGTGCTAGAATTAAATGCCTCTCTAATGGTGGCTAGCCTCACTTTTTAACAGAGAGACTGAATCCCAGTCCTAGTAGCTAAGGCAAGCAACTATGCAGAGTTGGAAATCATCAGCATCATCTTTCTCTGTTTATGTTTATGCTTAACTTCTAATTACAAGTAGTACTTGTTTTTCATTGAGGCTAAGATATAAAGTTTAAGATAAATATACTAAAATTTAAAAAGGGAATCAAGTAAATAATGCTCTAGGTGGTCCACAAAGATAAGAAAAATCATGACAAAACAGGAATGAATGCAATTTGGGAAACACTGTATGTGCCCAAGGTCATGTTCATTTAGGTTTGTTGTCAGATGGTAAAGGAAAGAAAGAGGGAGGGCAGCCTAGGCAGGAACCATCATGATCTGAAAAACTTGCAGGTAGAAGGAAGTTGGTTGAGGAATCCAGGCCCATTTTAGTTTCTGCTACCTGACTATAGTGTGACCGGGGAGGCAGGTGCTGGACAGGGTTGTATTAATGGGACAGGTAAGAAAGTCCAGCAGGGGAGGAGGTAGGAGGTCCTCAAGGCAAATATAGGCCAGCAGGTAAGACGAAGAGACTAAACAGAATATTTGGAGGGTACAAGAAGAGGTGGGAGGGAGAAGGAAGTGGCTAGAGAGGTGAGCTCTTTTATCAAGAAGGTCAGGACACAGACTAAGAGAATGGCCTTTAGGGTGGGACTACCTGGGTTCAAATCTGATCTTTGCTATTTACCATTGGCCTTGAACTAATACTTAACATCCCTAAGTCTTAGTTTTCTCATCACTTGCAAGGCAGGATAATAAGGGTCTACATCTTGTAGACTACATTCTCAACAAGTGTTGGCCACTGTTATCAATTCCAGGGCTGAGCCCTATTTTGTCTGCCTCTGTGTACGCTGAGAATTGTGTGGTTTTGCAGAGTGAGCACCATGAATTTCTTTAACTAACTTGCTGCTGAGAGAATAATCAATCACCAAAGCTGAGGAAGGCCAAGTCTATCTGAACGTCAGATGAACAATTTTTAAAGTCTAGCTATGTCTAAATGTTTCATAATTACCCTAATAACAAATGTCAGGGGTTTCCTGAACCACTTGATAAATATGTAGACACATTTTTTTTTGAAAAGGGAAGGGATAAGTATCAGAGAAGCAGTGGACCAATCCAATGACTGAATTTCCTTTAAAAAAGTAACTATAACAGGTTTGTTGACTAATGCATGGCAAGTCAATACACCAAGACACAGGGTTGCAGCAGAGAAGGAAGTTTAATCACAAGGCTGCTGAATAAGGAGATGGGAGGAAACCTCAAATCTGCCTATCTGAGCAGTTTAGACCTAGGTATTTAAAAGGGTTTGGAGTGACTGAGGTTGGGGCTCACTGGTTGAAGAATGCAGGATGAAGTCACAGGATGGGGAGATGTAGAAACTGCATTCTCATGCTGATTCAGTTCCTCTTGGGGGTGGGCTTCAAAGTGGTTGGCATTAGCCCTTTTGATGGCATTCAGGATCTGAAAAACATCGTAAGCAATTTTTAAATAAAAGCCTTCTAACGTCAGAAGTCTTCTGTGTAGGAACACTGAGGAGGCAAATGGTCAGCATCTGGTGCTCCATGACTTTTGGCTATGAAGAAGGGGGCCAAAGTGCAGCCTGATTAATGCTTAATTACAACTGTATTTCTGTCTAGAACCCAGCATGTAATTGTTAACCCTGTGAGGATGGTTTCAATAGAATGTTTCCTTTGTCCTTAAAGGCAAATATATTTAGTCCTATTATACTATAGGTAATGATGACACTCTTGGTAAAATCTTAGGTCCCTAAGTTGTTTGCCACCTTGCAACCTATATTATCCATCCGGTCTTAGTTACTACATCTGACTGCTGGGTGATTTGTTTGGTCTGTACACAAGAACTCATACAAGTATGTTACTCAAAAATCCACAAGCACTATGGCAATAGTTTGTGTAACAAGTTAGGGTAAATATCTTTCTGGTAAGATGTACAAAGGAAGTCAATTTCCCTGGAAGACACGAGATGTCAGGCCTCCAGGCAAGACAGAAGCAAAAAACTGACAAAGCAAAGCCTACAGAAAACGTGGGTAATAAGTCTGAATCTTCTCAAAGTGTCTAGAAAATGCATTCTAAGACAAAATCCTACAATGCAGCAAGCCTTAGGAAAAAGCCTAAAACTTTCTAGCCTCTACCTGAAAATACCCACTGCCTAGGAAACTCAGGAGAAAAAATTCAGCCTAGGAGGTCAAGTCTGAGGTATTGCCACCCCACTGAAATTTGAACAGGGCACTCTAAAATGACATCCTGGCCCTTCATAAGAGGAATAGAAAGAGGTTTGTAGTCACGCCCATAGGCCTATATTCTTAGGTAAACCAGCTGGATCCTGATAAAATGAGAGAAAGATGACAGTGGAAAAGGTTAACAATAAAATATGAAAGACAGCTTCTGCTCTAGCACTTCCCATATCCCCCCAGGCAACTGAGTGCAGAGCAGAGGAAGCTATGACACGGGAGAATGAAATAAGCTTTCTAGAATGCAAGGATCTGAGTGTAAGACCATTATTAGAACAACAATAAGGGGAAAGGTAGTCTGGGTCTTTAAGTAATTAGAACACTCTCTAAGATGGCTGGGGAGAGAAAGGCCAAGAAATGCACATATATTTAAAACTATCTAATAAAGACTTCTGTTTCAAAGTGAAATCAGAATACGATGAATGTGTTTTCCAGCTTTAAAACTCATGATCACTAAGTGGCTGATAAAATTTTATGCAATTCGGTTCACTAATTTTGTTTTTAATTGGTATCTGATCTACTTCTGCAACTTATAATAAGATGAACATATTTACTCACAGGCCAGATGAAAAATTGCCTAATTCTAATTTGGAATCATCTTATCTTATTCTAAAAAGGAAAAAAGAAACTATTTAAAGGAAAGGATCTGTAACTGGGGTCTATGGGTTTATTAACAGGTTTGCCAGGAAAAATACAAGATACCAGTTACATTTGAATCTGAGATAAACAAGTACTTTTTTTAGTTTAGATATATGCCAGTTTTTGCATGGCAACCCTGTATTTATAAACAAATTTCAGAGAGATAGCTACATTTATATCTCTCTTTAATGCTTTGCTAATTGATTGACTGAATGAGACGGATTCTTGCTCTGTCGTGGAGGCTGGAGTGTAGTGGCCCCATCTCAGCTCACTACAACTTCCACCTCATGGGTTCAAGCAATTCTCCTGCCTCAGCTTCCTGAGTAGCTTCCATTACAGCCGTGAGCCACTGCTCCGGAACATCTTTAACGATTTTTGTTTACAGACCAAACAAAGGCATCACCTTCAGTCATTCCAGCAGTCAACTATGGAAACTGATACTACGAGAGATAGTATAGGTTGTGAGATAGATCTAGCCCCTTAGACATTGTATAAAAATTTGGGGTAGAAGCATTTTGACAAGGAAATTGGTTATAGTTATCTTTCTACCAGAGTCTTAAACCTATGAGCTCTTAACAGTTAGCCATCATTAATGCAAAGATTAATTCCATCAATCCCTGACTTTTCCCTGTGGCCTGAGCTTCCCAGCAGCTGAACATAAAGGGAAACATGAAGGGCGATTTACCAAATAGCAACTGAAGAGAGGAGTCCTCCCAGTGAAAGCAGAAGAGTTTGCCCCGGGGGTGTGGTAGAGAGGCAGAGAAACAAGGTTTACAGGGCCTTGCAGACTGACTTGAACCTGAGGGCCAGATCACACCCTTAAGTGGGGAGGTTGACCTTTTAAACAAGAAGTTTTGCATGACAAAATGTCAGCTTTGTGAACTTTGGATTCCCAGGAGCATCACTACAGGAGAGAGTGGAGAAAGGTGGTGGTGGGCTGAGGGTGCTGGCTTGGAAGGGAGTGAAGAGAGGCAGGAGAGTCGGAAGAGACTGGGAGACTGGGAATATAATACTCAAGGGCCATGGTTTTCTCCCCTCCAGCTTTTTGTCCTTTGTAGCCACCACCCCAGGATATTGGTGAAGGTGTTTTTGTGCATCCCCATTCTGAGAGTGCAACCCCTTTCCTGAGGGCCCTGGGAGGGTCTGGGTAATGAGTAAATGCAGTCTTTACCTGCGTCACTGAAAGTAGACCCGCAGAGCTGCAGCTTCTGCTGCCATTTCCTCCTCTGATCTCCAAGAGGCCGGGGAGTCCTCCTCTTCCTTGTCGTGTTTCTGGAGCTTTGGAGAAACAAATGGAAGAAGCTCTTTCATGGGCCCTTGGGATCTCCTTGAACAAATATCAGGAGGTTGGGAGAGACTGAACAAAATTTGCAAATTAGAGGTCAGTAGGTGTATCTTTTAATTGCTTCAGTTGCCAAAACTTGCAAATGGAGAGGTTTTACAAAAGAATCCACATTTGAATTAATCATTGGCTGCATTATAATCATCTATTGAGGCTGACAGCCATGATGATCAGATATAGATCTGTGTCCTTGCCCACATCCCATGTCAAATTAGAAGCCCCATTGTTGGAGGTGGGCCTGGGGGCAAGTGATTGGACCACCTAGGCAGAATTCTCCACTGGGGCTGTTCTCTTGATAGTGAGTGAGTTATTGGGGGATCTTATTGCTTAAAAGTGTATAGCACCTCCCTCTACTCTCACTTCCTCCTGCTCCAGCCATGTAAGATGTGCCTGCTTTCCCTTCTGCCATGACTGGAAGTTTCCTGAGGCCTCCCCAGCCATGCTTTCTGTACAGCCTGAGAAACCAATTAAACTGCTTTTCCTTTTAAATTACCCGGCCTCGGGTAGTTCCTTACAGCAGCGCAAGAATGGACTAATACTGGTGGTCACAGATTGGGATGACGTGAGGGAATGGGGTGCACATGCCATCCCCATAATCTCTACTGCTGTTCTAATTTTCTTATGTTTCATAGGCATCATTCATTTATTTTACTTCCTGGATTTTGAAGGCATGGAGTTTGCCACCAACACATAATCTCTCTTTCAAGGTGGCCTGTGGTTTGCCTCCTACTTTTTTCGGTTTAGACTTTCTTACATGAGCTCTAAGCAGTTTTGTTCAGCAAACAAAATTTATGATAACACAGTGGTCATGAGAACTGAGTAAGTAATAAGAATTTCCACTAAAAGAGGCTTCAAGTAGGGAAACAGTAAAGAGATTAAATGAGAAAACAACTTACAAAAAAATTAACAATTGGTCTTAAAATTAACACTTGAATCATTTTAAACTCTCCTCAGATTACAGGTATATTTATCTTAAAAAATTGTCTGTATGTCTCAGATTTACATATAGAGTGGATAAAATTTCAATTCTGTCAGAGAGGACGTTCTCAGAACTGTCTTCCTTAGAAGAGCTCAATTTTCTCCCTTAATCTCCTAGTACGATTCAATTTCATTAACTAAATTTATGGTTCCTGCGTGTGGCTCTATACATTGTAAAATGCTGCAGGTTATCCATTCATTCTTCATGGGAATGTGCAGTGTAGTATTTTGTGTTAAAAGTCATTTGAGATTGAGACAAACAATTTAACAGCACCAATGATAGCTAGCATTGATGATATGAAAGGCGTGCATTATCTTTTTTAATCCTGACAATGACTCATGAAGCTGATGCTATTCAACCCCATGTTATTGTGGAGGAAACTGAGTTCTAAGGAAGTTCATACTCTGGTCCAAGGATCACCCAGCTACACAGCGTTAGGTGCCAGAATTATCCCCAACACCTTTTGCCTTTTTATTTATCCTGAAGGATCTACAGTGTCCCTAAAGACAATCCCACAGATACTGTCCCTCTCCATTTTGCAAAGGGTTGACTTAACAGATTAAAATACAGACTTTTTAAAAGCTGATCCTTTAAAAATAATCTTGCCAACTCAGCAAAAAGTCTTTCAACAAAATAATGACGTTTGCCATCTCAAGCCCCAAAGTCTAAATCTAACCTAGAGGCCCCTGTTCTGGCAGCTCATAGCAGATGGAGAAATTTCCCCATTTATTTCAGCTCAGTGTTGGTACAGAAGGCAAAACAGTGAGGGTACCATAGCCTTGCACTCCAGCTGAGCTATATTTCCACTCTGGGTAAGTCTGAGCCTAAATGAGGCTCATTAGCATATAACCGGGCCACAGATACGTTTATGAGGGTCATGGATCTTCCCTTCTGAATTTGGCTGCCAGCACACTGGTTTTACATTTTGCCATGTAGATTTAATTCTCCTTAGGAAGAAAACCACATTAAGAAGTCATTTCCTTCCCTGCAGAGGCAAACATGCTGCAGTTGCTACAGGCAAGTCAAAAGGGATTGCTATTCTTCTAGTCAAGAACTAATTTTCATTTTGATACTACCTTGAGGTCTGTTATAAATCCATCTTGTAACAATTTGATAGGATGACAAAGAGACGTGCAAAGCCCAGGAAATATGGCCTTCCCACTTCTGCTACTGCCATGGGAAGACACAGAAATCAAGCATTAAGTGGTCTCATCAACAGAGATCACGCCAGATGAATCCAAATAATTTCGAGCCTGTGAATGTTAATGCATTCCTGATTATTAGGCGACCGTCTGTTATTGTCATATGCCTTACAGATGGTAACATTGTGCCAACCCTTAGAAGTTGTTTATGGGAAGTAGGAAATAATAAATAAAACAAAAACTCATCATCTTTGCAAAAACTCTGTTGTACATAGCTTTTAAAAGTTACTAGATTTCTCTCTTAAAAGCCCCAGATGGAAGCATGTAGTTCTGTTTAGAACGGTGGTGCTCAACCCTGGTTGCCCACTGTAATCACCTAGGAAGCTTTAAAAAATAAAACCCACCCCAGAGCTTCTGATTTAATTGGTCTGGGGTAGGCTGGGTTTGGGAATTTAAAACCAAGGTTCTCAGTCAGTTCTAAGGTGCACTTACTGTTGAGAATCACTGCTTGTGGGAGAAGGGTGTAGACAGAGCCCACATACATATAGAAATAATAAATTTGCCTTTAAGCACATTGCTTGTGATCCTGTCAACAGTATAACTGCTGCCCTTTGCAAACCTTGCTCTGGAACTGCTTTTCTTCTGTTTATGCTCTATCCACAGGATGTCTGGGCTACAAGGCTTGTCTTCGCAACACTAAGATGCGGATGCAGTTCAGGAGCATTTGAATGGATTTGTAATCTCTGCAGAAATAGGGAGTCTGGGAAAGGCCCTCGTGGGCAAGACTTGTGTCCTAGAAGATCCACTCAGGTAACTTGAAGATTAAAAATGATACAGTTTGGAGTAAAGTTCTATTTCCCTAAAGCAATCTAAGAACCTGGTGGCTGCAACTTCTTGCCTGGCTAACAGAAAGAAAGCTCTAATGATTTTATACAGTAGTTTATCCAAAAGACACTATTTGCCGTGGGTGAACTTTAATGGAGGAGTTTCACTTCTAATAAGCCTTCCAGATTACTTTGGCTGTCCACAGGGGAGGGCAGTGACTACTTGTTAACACACCAGACATTTGCTCTGTCCCTGTAATGCCAGGGGCCAGACGTAGCACTGGAACACTGAACCAGACTCCTTTATTGTTCTCCTGAGGCACACGGGGTAGGGAGGGTAGACACCAAATGGCCGATTCTTAGTGAGATGGGATTACCAAATGGAAAGGGTGCTGGATAGAGCTACCCTCACTGCAAAGGCTTTTGAGTATCATCTTGGTTTCACAAAGAAACTTATGATAAAGAGTGATGGAGGGAGAGAGGTTATCTGTGGATCATCCAAAAATGACTCTCCAAGAAGGCGAGAGTTAGGTCTGAGCTTGAACAATGAGAAGAACAAGTTCCTTTAACCTCTTTCAGCGTCAGTTTTCCCCTATGTAAAATGGGAGTAGGAAAAAGAGTTGTGAGCAGTGCCATGCCTGACACATAGTAAGTGGTATTTAATATTCCCTGCTGCTGCTGTGACTACTACTGTCATTAGCATTATTTTTAGGCTAAATAACACTGACCTAATGACAACGAGCACTAAAAACTTTACAGAGGTTGTTTTTAGGAGTAAAAGTATTTTGCATCTCCATAGTTCTCCAATGATCTGTATCTTTTGGACCTAACTACTTTGTAGAAGGATTAAAAGTTATGATTAGAATTCAGATCCAAAGCAACTAATTGAGACACCCAAATCTTGGGAGGAAATGTAGCTTGTTAGAGTTATCATAAGAAGTGAAGGTATTAATCAAGGTTTCTCACAGTAAAAGCTAAGGTCCTATGATAAAAGAATGCAGTGGAGGTCAAAGGCAGTCAATACCCCAGGAGTACGTCTGCCAGATATGGTAAATAAAAATACAGGACACTCAGTGACTTGTTTTAGGATAAGGATGTCTCATACAGTATTGAGATATCCTTATACTAAACAATTATTTGTTGTTTACCTGAAATACAAATTTAACTGGGCTTCTTGTATTTTATTTGACAACTCGCCCTAGCAGACCCCATAAAAAGGTATCACAGGAAGATCCTGGCTTGCATTTGGTTAACTAGGTTGTTCCCAAAGTTGCCTGGCTGTGAATCCTGGAAAAAACAGAGGAGACCATGTGCAGGAAGATAACATTCAAAGCCATTATGTACTCCAAGGCTTATTATTACTGCCTGGAATGCAGCATAAATCAACCTGCACTATTTTAATTCCTTAGTTCACCAGTTCTAAGGTACATACTCTTTCATATTTTAACATCTTTGAAATCAAAACATGTCCTATAACCAAGAGTGTGTCATAATTTAATTGGCAGTGTTTTCCTTTCTTAGTAGTACGTAAAATAACACTTCCAACTGGCTGTGTCTGGGATTCAGCGCACTATAGTTCTCCACCTCTCCTTTCTGCAGGTAAGTCACGTAAGTTAAATGTGACTCTGCTTGCTCTAAAAACGCTCAACACCAAGGCTGATGTCATACATCTTGGTTTCCTTCTGATACAACAATAGTCAAAACTGTTTTCACAGATGGAACGTGCATGCCCAAGTGACAAAGTTTGCAAAAATTTGAACCAAAGTCGTTTTCACATTCAACAGATTAAAGTCTGTGCTGGCTTCTCCAAGCAAATTCTATTTCTGCATACCTTTGAAAAGAGATTTTTTTTTAAACTGCCTCTGCAGTCATCCTACTTTATCTGTTTGAAATGGTTTTTGGGGAAGGTAGTGTTAACAGGATTTCTGATGGAAGAACTGATATGTGTCGATATTGACATTGTGCTCCTTCCTGTGCACTGAGTGTGTTAT